TTAAAATACTATATGTCCATGTTTGTAGTGAATATTCTTTTTACTCAAAATCTTTTGTAATAATTTGTTGTAAAAGAAGGCCTGTTGTTGGAGAAGTCATCTTGCAGCATCAATCAATGAATAAAAAAATTTTTATTGAGTACCTACTATTCCAGTGGGTCTTTTAGAAGATGCAAAGTATAAAATGTGGCCTAGGATATGTACACATAAGGCAATATTAAGTTCATATTTTTCATGTTGAATTACTGTGGGTTTTGTGATTTTTTTAATGACTGTGCTTGAGTGAGAGTGATTTTTTTGAAATTAGCTGATAAACAATATTCAGTTATGTTGATGGCTAACTCATCTTTTGGCTATTAACAATATTGAGTAGATGTTGCCTCTATGCTGTGGATTTTGAAAACAGACCATTGTAGCATTTGAACTGGAACTACAATGAGTAACTGAGCTAAAAGCTGAGGAAAGGAAAGAAGAAAAGGAAGTTAGTAGGTATAAAGAAATATAGGGTGGCATGGTTAAGGAAGGGGTAGGGAGTACATGAAGAGAAAGATAGGCTGGAATTATATTGTGCAGGACCTCAAATAACAGGCTAAGTTTTATATTTTATTTTATAACCAATGAGGACTGATTGAAGAATTTTTTGTTTTATGAAAGATTGCCAGTTAGAAAGATCTGTATATGTGTATGTATATATGTGTACACATATGTATATACATATACTTATTATACATACAAATGTGTGTGTGTGTGTGTGTGTGTGTGTGTGTGTGTGTGTGTGTGTGTGTATATAAAACAAAGGCTGTCCCCAATCTATATCATGGAGGTGTCATTGTGTGGCTCAAAGGGAGGCAGAATAAACATCTCTAGCCTCATCTCCATCTCTCTTATCCAAGGGAGCCATTAATTCCTGCTCAGGAGAGAAAGCAGGAAGTTTGGACCAGATGCCACTCTGCTCTTCTCAGAGACATGGGGTAACAGGTTAGAATTTTATCTAACTGCTCGCTTAAATATTATTGAGCTAGGGAATGTGATTTGAAATTCAAGGTAAAGTTCTGATCACTGTTAGTCAATTGGGAAAATTGAGAACCCAAGGCTTGACTAATTTCTCATCAAAAATTGTTTCTACAAGTAAAACACATAGCAGGTAGTAAATAAATATATATATATATATATATATATATATATATATATGTATGTATGTATATATATATGTATGTATGTATGTATGTATATATAGTGTGTATATATGTGTGTATATATATATATGTACACACACATATACATATATATGTGTATATGTGTATATGTATATATGTGTGTGTGTATATACACATACACATATATATACATATACATATGCACATATACGTGTGTGTGTATACACACACACACACACACACACACACACATATATTCAAAGAAAAAAGAGTGAAGGAGTTTTCCCATTGGGAGCAAGGTAACTCAGTTCAAGAGAGAGAGGGAGAGAGAGAGAGAGAAAGAAAGAAAGAGAGAGAGAGAGAGAGAGAGAGAGAGAGAGAGAGAGAGAGAGAGAGAGAGAGAGAGAGAGAGAGAGAGAGAGAGAGAGAATTTTAATCCTGGAACAGCCTGGAAATTAGAAGTTAGAAGCCAGCAGGGTGAGAATTTCAATAAGAGCTCAAACCTAGAGGAGTGGGTATGGGTGGCTAGAGAGGAGAACTTCTATTGCTTAAAGAAAACATGAGAAGAATCAACAAGATCTTAATCCTCCAAGATAAGGAAGGGTCCATAAACTAGGTATTTTGCCATCCTGGCCCAATATGTGATAAAACCTCAGTCATCTCACATCAGGTTTCCATTACCCTTCTCAGAAAGAGCTGCAGTTGCCTAAACTAAGCTGTTGGAAAATTTTACACTGCTACAGACCTTGGTTCCTACCCAGCTGAGGCATGAGGTGGATTTGCTGTGTTCTACTTGGGAGCCTGACAAAATCAGGTACCCCTTGATAAATTTCCTCTTTCACGCATTAGAACTTTGATTCAGAATCACAGTCTGCTAACACTGCCTAATGCTTTCTGCCCATTCTTGATACTCTAGAATCTGTCCTATTAGACCTTGCCCATTGATTGTAAAAATAATGATAATGATGACAATAACTATATAGATAAGAAACATTTATATAACATTTTACGTTTTGCAATGCATTTGACAGGGATCTTCACTTTTAAGCATCACTACATGTCTGTAAGTTGGATTCAACTATCATTGCCCTCCCTCCTTATATAGTTACCAAACTATCCTTCAGATTAGACTTCTTCCTCTCACTCACACATCTTTTATCTTTTCGCAGTCTTTAATCACCTGATTCTCATCAGATGATAATGCATTTCTAGCCATCTCCAATTGGAAGCAGCTAGATAGCTCAGTGGATAGAACACTGTGCCTAAAGTCAGGAAGACCTGATTTCAATTCAGGCCTCAGACACTAGTTGTGTGACAGTGAGTAAGTCACTTAAGCTGTTTTTCTTAATTCAGTGGAGAAAGGAAATGACAAAGCACTCCAGTATCTTTGCCAAGAAAATCAAATGGTCAGCATTATCATGCTATGTTCCAAAGAAACAGGCATAACTGAACAAGATGTATCTACTACTATTTTTACATTATAATACCCCCCATCCCCCCAAATTCTGATACAAGAGAATGAATTAGAACTACTCTTTGCCCCTCATTGCCCCTCTAAGTCCCTAATTATCCCTCCAATACTCAGAAGGCTCACTTCCTTTAAGATTCACTATATCCATTCGTATTACTGAAACTAAATAATGACTGCAGGTTATATTATATCCTTTCTTAGGAAGTACAACACTTGATTCACAATCTTCTCTAGCCCAAACTTATTCTTATACTTTGGGAAAACAAAGAGGCTTCATAACTTCTGAACCTTCTTTACTTCTATCATCTGTCCCTTTGTTCCATCCCAATACTCACAGAAATGATTAACAAATTAAAGGTGTTTAGCCAGAAGAAGTCATTAAAAGCTGGTAAGATCCAGAAATGCAGAAGAAAGTCAATAAAATGAGTCATCCAGAAGAATCAGTGATTTTTTAAGAGGCAGAGATACTTGGTGATTGCCTTTGATGTCACCATGACCCATAGCTTTTTGTCCTCCACAGCCCTTAACTCTGATTTTCTCTCACTTAAGCATACTTTTTACCTTTTCATCACTCAATATACCTCCACATAAATCTATTCTTCTTCTTCCCTGCTCTCTCCCTTCACCAAGATAGTATACAATCTGATATAGACTTCACATGTACAATTAAATTTTAAAAAAATTCCCCATTAGTCATGTTGTGAAAGAAGAATCAGAACAAAAGGGAGAAATCACAAAAAAAGGAAAAAAAACACAACAAAAATGTGAAAATAATATACTTCCATCTGACTTCCACTGGATGTGGATAGCATTTTTCATCATGCTTCTTTCGGAATTGTCCTAGATCACTGTATTGCTGAGAAGAGCTAAGTCTATCATATCTGGTCATCCCACAGTGTTGCTGTTACCATGTACAATGTTCTGGTTCTGATCATTTCATTCAGCATCAGTTCATTTAAGTCCTTCCAAGTTTTTTTTTTCTTCCCTGAAATCCCCCTGCTTATCTTGTCTTATAACACAATAGCACCACAATATATTCATATGCCACAACTTGTTCAGCCATTCTCTAATTCATAGGCATCCCCTCAATTCCAATTCTTTGCCACCACAGAAAGGGCTGCTATAAATATTTTTGTACATGTAGGTATTTTTCCAATTGTTATGATCTTTTTGGGATATAGCACAAGAAGTGATACTGCTGGATCAAAGTATATGCACAATTTATATCCCTTTGGGCATAGTTCCAAATTGCTCTCCAAAATGGTTGGATCAGTTCACAACTCTACCAACAATGCATTAATGTGCCAATTTTCCCACATCTTCTCCAATATTTATAATTTTCCTGTTTTGTCATATTAGTCAACCTGATAGGTGTGATGTGGTACCTCAAAGTTTCTCAAATCAATAGCAGTTTAGAGTATTTTTTTCAGATGACTACAGATAGCATTAATTTCTTCATCTGAAAACTGATATTCATAACCTTTGACAATTTTCTAGGACATAAAAACCTCACAATCCAATACAGAAAGGCAGAAATATTAAATGCATCCTTTTCAGATCATGATGCAATAAAATTATATGCAATGAAAGGCCATGGAAAGACAGACTAAAAATTAATTGGAAACTATATAATGTAATCTTAAAGAATGAGTGGGTCAAACAACAAATCATACAAACAATAACTTCATCAAAGAGGATGGCAATAATGAGCTGACATCAAAACTCATGGGATGTATTCAAAGCAGTTCTTAGGATAAATTTGATATCTCTAAACGCTTACATGAATAAAATAGAGAAAGAGATGAATGCATTGGGCATGCAACAAAAAAAAAGTTAGAAATATAACAAATTAAGTCTCCCATAATTAAATGCCACTTTAAAAATTCTGAAAATCAAAAAAGATTAAGAAAATGATAATAAGAAAATACTAAAGAAAATAATTAACTAAAAGAATAAAACTAAGAGGTGGTTTTATAAAAAAATAGATAAACCTTTGTTAATTTGATTTAAAAAGGAAAGAAGGAAATCATATTACCAGTATAAAAAAGGAAAAACTTGTATTCTCCACCGATAAAGAGGAAAATAAAGCAATAATGAGGAGCTATTTTGTTCAAGTGTATGCCAATAAATCTGGTAATCTAGGTGAAATGATGAATATTTACAAAAATATAAATTGCCAAGATTAACAGAAGAGGAAATAAAATACTTAAATAACCCCATTTTAGAAAAAAAGAAACTGAACAAGTCATCTCTTCCATTTTTGCATTATTTTTATTCTGTTTTATTATTTTCTGATCTCTTATAACTTCATTAGCTTCCCCTTACCCAATTCTGATTTTTTTTTTGGCTAATCGTTTTATAACCACAACAAACTAGTGCATAGGATGTCCTGTACAACAACACAATAAAGGCTTAAAGCTGGAGGTGTTCCCATGGCAACATTGAAGATCATTCAGTCTCTTATATTTGGAATTTAGGCTGCAGTCCTTGTGATCCGGAAGGCTTTCCGGGCAGGAGGCACAGGCCACGCTCCAATCAGACTTGAACAGGAGAATGGCGATCTGGCCCAGGTAGAAGTAGATGAAGTCCTTTCTCTCATGCGTCACGTGGCTTTCGAAGTTCCTCCCCACGACGCAGTGCCAGGTGGGGTTGTACTTCTTGTCCAACTCCTTCTTGATGTGGGCTGCTATGTCTTTCTTTACGTTATATTTCTCCAGGGCCTGGGTGGCACATTCTACTGAGTCCTGCTGCGTCTCCTCCTACATGTCGGCATTTTTTTATCACAGCCTTGAGGTCACACAGGGTTACCACGGGTCGGGAGCAGCGGTGTCGGGGCTCAGACACTCTATCGGACCTGGCAGGTGCTTCACTGCCTTAGCCGTTGCGCATCTTCCCAATTCTGATTTTCTTTCTTTTCTTTTCTTTAAGTTTAAAGGGGATTCATTTATTGTCACTGTTCCAAATATACAAAAAGAAAAAATTGGAAGCTCAACTCCCCTCTCCCTTCAATATTCCTCCAACACAAATAATCCTTCCCCACCCCTATCCCCCCACACCACAAACAAATCAGCTCGTCTTGGTGTTTCCATTAACAATGCATCTAAAGAAACAGCTTAAAGAAAATTAAACAGGATTCAAATGGTATCCACACTGCCCACTTATCCCTGAGGCACTGACTGCCCCATCACTGGTAAAAGAGTCTTTTTACAAAGTTGTCTGTTTTTGACTGCTACTTTAGAGATCTTCCTCTGCCTTCTTTTTGGATTTTTCCTCTTGCATCACAGGAAGATTTGTATCTTCTCTTTGTAGGTAGTTAATAAAGTCAGAAACTTCATGGTCACCTTCATATTTCCTTGGATTCTGCTCACTGTTGGCTGGAGAGAAGTAGATGGTAGGGAAGCCTCCGACTTCATATGGGGAAGGCACATCATTGGCTGTAGCATCCATCTTTGCTATGACACCATTGGGATCTTTGCTGAGCTTTTCTCTCAACTCATTGTACTTGGGTTCCAATTTTTTGACCACACCAACGGGCATAAAATTCTATCAGAACATCTTTATGTTTATTCACAATTTCATCAAGGTTCTCAGATACAACTACCTTCACCGGTCCATCATTATTCTCTGGGATAAGTTCAGACTTTAAGTATCTCCTTAGGTTGCCATCAAAGTAATTCTACATGAATCGCTCCAGGGCCTTCCCATCACAGGGAATTCCTCTTGCATAACATATTTGTCTCCTTTTGCAGTTTTGATGGCAACAACAGAGACCTCTCGAAAGGTTCTTTCCAAGCCGAAGTCAGAAAGTTCATGACTAAAAATTTAAAACTAGCAACAGTAAAGCTGAGTTTCTTTCCAGATTCCAGGAATCTCTGTGCCACCATCATTACTCTGTTTCTCCAGTAGTTGGATCCTTTAGTATTTATTTCATAGTCCACATCATAGTAAGCCACAAGTACATCCTTGCCCTGGAATAAGTTTTTGTTGTCTTCTGTCATGAGAGGGCAAATACCAAAAATGTTCTCCTGAATAATTTTTTTTTAAATTTTGCCGCTGGTTATCTTTTTCTCTGTGTACTGTACACCATTTCCCTCAAATGTGTTAGCCAGATGTGGAGGCAGAACAAGGTGATATCCTCTGCATCAGCATCATACTTCCTCACCTGGGCATCAACATTGGTGTGTGCAAATTGGTAGTTTTCCCTCTTTTGTAGCTGCTTTTAGGAGCTCTGAGTGAGACTCACTGAATAAGTCTCTGAAGAAACCGACTATAGAAGCAGATTTGTCACTAATGAACTTTCCAAAATCTTCTATATACATGAGAGGAACTGAGGCAGGTCCTGCCTCCTTCTTCAGATGACTCACAATTCCACCAGCTGTCCCAGGGCCATCATAGGCACCTGATTCTTCACCGTTTCTAAATATTTTCAGGCTGGGATAGCCACTGACTCTATATTTATTACAAGTATTTGAGTTGGCAGTAGTCAACCTTTGCCAAAGGAACTATACCTTTTAGCCTGGTTGCTGCAGCTTCAAATTCTGGGGCAACCCTCTTACAATGTCCACACCAGGGCGCGAAGAACTCTAGCAGCATGAGGCCGGCACTGCCAGTACCGGCCATGCGCGGCTCGAAGTAGTCCTCCATGAGCTCGAGCACATCGAAGGTGGCGTCAGCGGCGGTCAAGCAGCTGTCAGAAGCAGCGCCAAACCCGGGAGCAGAGCAAGGCGGTTGCACAAGGCCATGGCTGCGAACCGGGTCAAGGCAGGAAAGCCGGGGCGGGGGGGGGGGGGAATGGAGTCTGGTAGGAAAGTCCAGGCGCTATCTTGGCGGCTGTGGGAGGCAAATCACGTGAAGTGCCCCTCAGTCTTGAGCTGTCTGAAACCAGCCGCCTTGGGCCCAATTCTCATTTTCGAGAAATTTTTTTCTTCTTTGAGATTCTGGATCTCCTTTTCTAATTGGCTGATTTTTGTTTTCATTTTCTTCTTGTTTTCTTGGATTGTTCTTATTTTTCTTTTAGATTTTCCTCAATCTTTCTCATTTGATATTTAAAGTCTTTAAGTTCATATCTATATCTATCTATCTATCTATCTATCCACACACACATATATATAGTGACCATTTGATACTACTCTTTGGGGCAGAAGAGGGTTTCTTTACTTCACTATCCTCCTCTGAAGACGAACCCTGGCCTTCTCTATTCCCATAGTAACTTTCTATGGTTGGATTCTTTCTCCTTTGCCTTGCATTTCTAATAGCTTAATTTTTGTAATCACCTCTAGTCCTGGGGTATCGGGGATGGTGCCTCTGGACTCAGATCCTCCTTCAGTTCTCTTCTCTGACCTCGAACCAAAATCAAGACCTCCAGCTTCCTGTAGGTGCCTACAGTCAGCAGTATCCTCACCCCACTCACTGCTCCTGAACTCATCAGGTGTGTGCTGGTTCTGTCTTGCCCCCACTACATCTCCACAGCACAGCTGGATCTGGCATTCCTTGTGAGCAGAAGTCTGTTATCTTCCCTTGCTCAGATGCCCAACTCCTTTCACTGTCCCATGGGTAAAAGTTCCTGTAGCTGGGGCAAGGTAGCCTCACAACCTAGCTAACCCCAGGGCTTCCTACCTTTTGTTTAAGGGGTCCCTAGCCAGGAGGTGTTTAATATTCACAGGGGTGAAACTTCTCCCAGGCATGTTTCTTCAGATGACCAGTTGTCTCAGGAAGACCCCTGTTCTGCACTTTCTTTTATCTATTTTTACTGCTTTATGTTTGCCCTGAGTCATTGTTTTATCTTTTGTGAACTCAAAAGCTTATGGAAGTGATTGTTGATAATTCAATAAAACATTTTGAAAAAACAATCATTTCCATAAGCTTTTGAGTTTTAAATTTTTCTCCCCCTCCCCCCTCACTCCACAAGATGGCTCTCAATCCAATATAGGCTATACATATACATTCCTGTTAAACATATATTTACATTAGTGATGTTGTAAGGAAGAATTAGAACCAATTGGTTCTAAGGAAAGAGGAAACAAAACACAACAGAAGAAAAAAATAGCAAAAAGTATGCTTTGATCTGCATTCAAACTCCATATTTCTTTCTTTAGATGTGGATAGTATTTTCCATCATGAGACCTTTGGAAATGTCTTAGATCCTTGCATTGCTGAGAAGGGCTAAGTCTGTCAATGTTAGTCATCACACAGCATGGTTGTTACTGTGTGCAACATTCTCCTGGTTCTGCTCATTTCACTCAGCATCAAACCATACAAGTCTTTCCAGGTTTATCTGAAGGCTGCCTGTTCATCATTTCTTACAAAACAATAGTATTTAATTACATTTATATATCACATTCACAATTATGATTACTGTCTGTGCCTTTCTCTGTATCCTTCCTCCAACCTCCCACCCCGTTTATGCTTTTCTTTCTCCTTTCTCCTTTTCCCTCCTCACTAATGTTTTGCTTTTGACCACCACCTCCCTCAGTCCCACCTCCCTTCTATTACCCCCCTCCTTTTTCTTTCTGCTTTTCCCTCCTACTGCCTATAGGACATGTTAGATTTCGGTACCTAACCAATTATGTTATTCCCTTCTTGAGCCAAATCTGGTGAGAGTAAGGTTCAAACAACGTTCATCTTCCTCCTTTCTTTCCCTCTGGTGTAATAGGTTTTTGTGCCTTTTCCTGTAATGTAATTTACCCTTGTGTGCCTCTTCCTTTCCTTTTCTCTCAGTACGTTTTCTTAGTTAGATCAGATTAATTCACTTACCTAGATCTGTTTAACCCACTTGATTAGATTTTTTCCATCATTACATCAAAGTCAATTTATACTCACCCCCTTTATGTATACCCCTTTAACATGGTGTAATAACAATACAGTTCTGAAGAGTTACAAGTGTCATCTTCCCTTGCAGGGATGTAAATAGTTTGCTCTCATTAATAACATGTTTCTTTCTGTCCCATTTACCTTTTTATGTCTCTCTTGAGTCTTATATTTGAAGATGAAATTTTCTGTTGAGCTCTAGTCTTTTTATCAGGATGGTATGGAAGTCCCCTATTTGTTGAATATCCATCTCCACCCCTGAAAGATCATGCTGATTTTCTCTGGGTAATTGATCCTTGGTTGTAATCCAAGCTCCTTTGGGAGTTATGCCCAAATTGTTATTAAACTACCAATTCCCTTTGACCAAGCAATACCACTACTTGGTCTATTTACAAAGATGAGTAGGGAAAACATTTAAAATAAAGAACCTATATGTTCTAAATGTTTAGCAGCTCTCTTTGTGGTGGCAAAGAACTGGAAATTTCAGGGGTGCCTGTATCAATTGGTGAATGACTGAAAAGGTTGTAGTATATGTTTGTGATACAATGCTACTGTGCTATAAGAAATGATGAGCTCAGTGACTTTAGAAACACATGGAAGACTTAGATGAAATAACAAAGAGTGGAATGAGCAGAACCAAGGGAACATTCCATAAAGTAACAGTAATGTTCTTTTAAGAATGACCTTGAGCAAATCCAGGTTTTTTTGGTCTATTATAAACACCCCGATTACATATAAAGGGTGTATGAAGAAAGATACTATCTGCATCCTGAGAAAGAAGAGATAAATGGAAGTGTGTATAGAATAATTTTACATATAAATACCTATTTGTGTCTGATGGTAGACATCTCTACGGTGGGGGTTGGAGGGAAGAAAAAAATGGACATGATAATTTTATTGTATATTTGAAAGGAATAGAAAGTTGTGCATAGCAGATTTGTGGTTTCATGTACAATTGTTTTTTATTATACTATGTAATGAAAATGCTTGCTTTATTCTATAAATTAAAAATAAAATTAAAGAAAGTACAAGATTCAAGAAAAGTATATAAAAGGAACCAGGAAAGATAAATCATAAGTCATTCAATAAAGTTAAATTGTTTACATTCCTACATGGGAAAATGATACTTGTAAGTCCTAAAATTTTTCATTATTAAGACAGTTAGAAAAAGTATACATAAAATACACAGATGTGAATTTAACATAATGAGATAAATATCTAAAAAAATAATTGATGAGAAAGAGGAATTCACTGACAGGAGAAAGGAAAAAGTAGAATGGGATAAATTATCTGACACAAATGAGGCACAAAATAACTTTTACAATGGAGGGGAAAATGGAGGAGCTCAATGGAGAGGGTATTAACCTTACTCTCATCA